CTCCAAAGGGCAGCGTTTCCAGGTCCTGGTTCAGAGAGCAGCCGTGGAGCACCTGGAGGTACCTGCCAAGGACAGGTAGCTGAACATATAAGTGGCCAGACCTCAGACCACCTGAAGTTTTAAAGGGAAAGGTCTTGAATTCTAAGCTAAGAAATTTGGACTTGATCTTGGAGGCCTTTTTCACTTCTTTCCTTTTTAAAAAAAAAAAATTCTTTTAAACTAATGCATACACTTGTCAAATATTTGAACAGAATATTTGACAAGTGTATGCATTAGCAGAAAAATACAATAAAAATCAAGTCTCCTTTTAGTTGTGTTCCTCAGAAGCAGTATTTATTCAGAAATAATATATTCATTCATCTGGATATACAGAGTTATATTGTTTTAATGGCACCAATATAAGACTACATCATGAATTATTTAGCTATTCTCTAGTAATGGAGTTTGGGATGGTTTCTGGTCTTTTGCTCCTATGAACAAAGCAGTATGAACCTTCTTTTGTATGGGTCTTTGTGTTCATGGGTAAAAATATCCACTCATTAAATACCTAGCAATAGATTTGCTGAGCCAAGCATTTGGTGCATTTTAAATTTTTTTTGGTCAGACATTTCAAAACTGTTCTATGAGTTGTATTAGTCTTAAAGCAGAGCAAGATGAGAGCTGTGTTGTAATACGATTGCCTGGAGGACAGAATGGAGGGTGGAACAAAGAGGGGGACTAGAGACAGAGGCCTCGGGGCAGGGGAAGTGGGAACTATTCCAACAAGAGATCACAGACTGGCACTGGCAGACTAGATGGAAAAGAGATAAATGCAAGAGATATTTAGGAGATAGACTTATCCAGGGTGGGTGACCAAGTTTGGGTGATCCACTAAACTGCACAGGGCAATGGGGAAAGAGAAACTAGGGAGCTGGGGGCTGAGCAGACAGGGTGAGCATGAGTTGGTATTGCACATGACGTGGAAGTGCCTGTTATGGTTGAGATATGAGGTGTCAAATGGAGGTGGCTAGTTCAGACACCTACAAGTACATGTCTCGCTGGTGTTACCAGGGACAGAAGGCAAACCAAGCAAATAGTCAAAGGAGATCAGTGTCAGTCAAAGGAGATTCAGTGGAGTTGGAAGCATAGATAGCTATAGCATTCAGGGCAATTTCCCTGGATCCTGCATTGACTAGGTGTCGCTCTAAAATCCCAAGTACCTGTCTCCAGCAGGTCAACCTCAGGGTTCTGAGGGAGGGAGAGACCTCAAAGGGGATACTGATGGGAGCTGGCCGTGAATCTGAACTCATTTCCTCTTCATTGCATAATCTCATTATCCCCATTTGTTTTCCTTTAGACAGAGGACCAAGGGTTTAATTAACACAAAAGAATGGTAATATTTCTGGAGCAACAAGGTGTACTGACCATTTTGAGCCAAAACAGAGTAGTAATACGTTTCTGCAAGCAGCTGGGTTCAGGTCCTGGCTCTACCCTGTCCTATCCCCTGTGTGACTTGGAATGAACTATTGACTCTCTTGAGGCCTCAGCAGGCTCCTCTGGAACATGGACATGATCATGACGTCCCTTTCAAACTGAGCAGGAAATACAGTGATGCAGACCCGTGATGCATACAAGGGTTGGCAGTTGGCAAACCTCCATGATCAGCAGGAGGCCCCTCCTCAGACCAGCCACCCATCCCCTTCCCGAAGCTTACCTGGCCTTGTCATACTGGCCTCCCATGAGGATGTTCTCCCTGATGCTGCCCCCCAGGATCCAGGCCTGCTGGGGGATATAGGCCAGGCTTCCGCACACCCCCACTGTGCCTTCGAGCAAATGCATCTGCAGCAGAGTAAGTCCAGACTCAGGACCAAGGAGGGACAGGGAGTGGACCCTGCCTGGCTTGCAGCCCCAGGGGCCCTCTGGAACCTGGAGACCTTCTGATATAAAAAGGGCCGGGAAATCTGAGAGAACGGCCACGGGAACACGTGGGAGCACTCGGAGCCCCACCAGGCCAGTCCCACTGTAAATGCAAGATCTGCATCGAAGATACCCCAGGTTTTTCCTCTTATTTCTCAGGTCCCTTATTTCCTAGCAACCAGTGCCTCCACCATCTTCATGTGGAGATCGAATGTCCCAGGTCATCTCTGACCATGCCGGTATATTATGGAATTATTATTGTTTGGCAGGATAATGTTATTGTAGTTAGATAGAAAAATGTCCTTATTTTTGGACATATTGATGAGGCAATTAGTAGAGAAAGTGCCATAGCCTCCCTAACTTAAAATACTTCTATAAAATGCAAAGGCCAACAACTCTCAAATGCAGGTGGTGGGTCTACGGTTCTTTCTGTAGTGTTCTTCCTGCCTTTTTGTATGATCAATTTAAAAAAAAAAAAAGAGGCCAACTAAATCTCCATCATGTTGGCTTAGGAAACAAATTCCTCAAGAAGACTCCAAAAGTTCAAGAAATAAAATCAAGAATCAATAGATGGGATTGATTCAAACCAAAAAGCTTCTTCACAGCAAAGGAAACAACCAAGAATGTAAAGAGAAAGCCTACAGAATGGAGAACATCTTTGCCACTTGCACATCAGATAGAGCATTCATCTCTAGGATATATAAAGAACTTAAAAACTTAACACCAAAAAAAAAAAAAACCCAAAAACAAAAACAAAATAACCCAATCAATAAATGGGTAAAGGAATGGAATAGATACTTCACAGAAGGAGAAA